GTATTTAAATCGTAAATTTTTATTTTTTCGTCGGTACTTTCACGCCACAATATTTTCTGGTAGCTACGTTCGCTTGGATCTATCCAAATGCACCTATACATCATTTTTACGTCAGCATTAATAACATACTTCCGTAATCTTAATCTTAACAATATAGAAAAAAGATCCGCTTGAATTGTTGGTCCTACTAAGATTAAATCATTAAATGAAATTCCGTTGCTGCTCTTCGAGCTAGCATCGAAAACTACTCGACATTTTGTAGTTACAGCACTATCTCTCAGCACGGCACTGTGAGGCATAAAATATGAATTTGTTTCCAAAGAAACGTCCGAATCAAAAAATCCACTAAAGGTCATGTGTCCTAAGGATTCGTATTCCCGCATAAATTGTAAATAGTGCGTTTTTAAATTGCTATCTCTGTTCAACCGTGTTTCTAAATTTTTTAGTCTTTTAACAGCACTACATTTTGAGTCTCCTAACTTCAAATCTGTGTCCTGTTTAAATGGGTATTTGACTACAAACCTATTATCATTACTGCGCGTCGTGGTTTCTTTAAAATACTGTTCGCAATATTTTTGATCATTGGATAAAAAATTATTAGGTTCGAACTCTTCAAGTAGCCAGAATTTTTGTAATGAATCGTGCAAAGCTTTGTTTGAAATTTTTGAAGTGTTGCATACGGTTTTTCGATATCGTTCGTGAATGTTTAAAGGACCGACTAATACCCATCCTAAAGATGTTTCTTGTAGAATTAGAAGATTAGTACCTAACTTTATTTTGCCTGATTGCAACAAGTCATAAAAAACTTCTGATCCGAGTAATAAGTCTATTTGTTTGGGAACGTTAAACTTTTCATCTGCGAGACAAATGTCTTTGGGAACGTTAATCAATGATTTTTTGAATTCTACGATAGGGAGTTGTTCTGTTATTATTGGCAATACTAAAAACGTTAAATTTCTTGTGAAATTTCCAAATCGCGATTTTATACATGCAAAAGTCTTACTGTTGATTTTTGTTTGAATCTGATTGATGCCTGAAAGGGGAACATTGAAATCTTCGCATTTCAATTTTAATTTATTTATCAAAGACTGGCTAATCAGATTAGATTGGCTTCCTGAGTCGAGTAAAGCATGACATTTAGTCCAATTTCCATAAGAATCTTTTATTAAAATAGTTGCGGTAGACAATAATACCTGACTTTCTGAGAAAATACTATACGTGCTTGAATTACTTTCAATTAATTGACATTTTTCGCTCCCGCCACCTATTTCCAATAATTGCTCATTATTCATTTCTGTGCTAGTTACACACATCGTAGCCGTAGGCCTGGTGGTAACATTACCTATCTGCTGCCTTTCTCCGCTACCTGCATTTGCCGTCGGCACTAGCGCTCCTGAAAACGACGCCGAAGAAGGCCCCGCGCGAGCCCTATCTTCCCCCAATGATGTAAAATTTACAGCTGAAGGCGAACGCTGGAATTGTCGTGCAGCATTGTTGTACGTTTGTGACTGATTAGAATAATTATTATTTTTTGGATTATCATTATTTTGAGAATAGTTGTTTCTAGAATAATTGCTGGAATTTAAAGCATTATTTTGGTTAGAATACGAGTTAGGAGATCGATCTACGTGTAGGCAAGTATTATGCTTGAGGTTGCATTTTTTGCACCCACTTGACATGCATTCTGATTTAATGTGGCCTGACCTAAGACAATTTCCGCAAAGTTTATGATTTCGAATTTCATTATATTTTTCAGCAATAGACAAACTATTGAATTTCGGGCAATGATAGATAAAATGATTCTGATTGCACACGTGACAATTATTACTGGCTTCTCTTCCGCGGTTTTCCATTACTGGAAACGAAAGTCTACGAGGATTTGACATTTCTCTATTCGCGTTTTTTGAGTGATAACCTCTATCAGAGTTCTTTTCAAAATGCGTGTTTTTATTTGAACCTTGTTTTACAAAATCTTGATTTACTGCTTCAAGCGCAAAGCATTTCTTTGTTAAATAGTCTGTTAAATCTGTAAGAGTGGGTAAATTATTGCCATTTTGCTTATTTTCCCATTCCCTACGAGTCCTTTCATCTAACTTTTGCAAAATCAATGGAATCAACAAGGTGTCCCAATGAGCAACTGGCAAATTTAATTTCTCGAGCGCAGCTATATGCTGATGAACAGCATCTAAAAGTTTCCTGATATGTGTGGCCGATTCTTTTATAACGTTGGGTAGATTAAACAAAATGTTATTGACGTGGTAATTTATAATAGCCATTTTATTGTCAAAACATTTTTCCAAGAGATTCAATGCGATAGTATAATTATTAGCCGTTACGTCCAGAGCTTCAATCAATTTAAGCGCCTCATCCTTACAGCAAATTTTCAAGTACAAAAATTTATCAATATCACTCAAATCAGTTCGATTATGTATGACCGAATTAAAAATGTCGCGAAAGCTGTACCAAGTTTCATATTTGCCGTGAAAACTGGGTAAACCTAAATCAGGAAGCCTGGCGACACCAGCACCTGTATTACCAACTACATTCCCGTGTGCGTTTTGTATTGTATTATTCGCGATATTTACTTTTTGTTCATTACGTTCATTTGCAATTAATCGTTTAGCCTGCGATATTAACGAGTAAAATAATGATTCAGTATCCAATCTAAAATCCTTTTCATCATTGTCTAAAAATTCTAAGCGCGTCTGTACCTGGTCAAACTCCGAAAAATCGTCCTCAACGCTTTTAAGCCTGATTTCGAGTTGAAAAATATCAATGGGTTCGTCATTGGTTAAATAGTCTTCGAAGCGTTGAAGCCTATCACAAATTACTGATCTTGCGTGTAAAAATTCTTGAGTTTCAATTGGCATAACATCATCATTATTATTTTTCGAGTTATTTTTCTTATTACGAGGCATTTTTATTTATTATTATTTATTTTTTTTTTTTATAACTTTCGATAAAATCAACTTAAAAGTTCAATGTTTCGAGACGAGAAAACGAGAATTTATATACGTGAACGAGACCTGATGAGAATGATAACGAGATTACGTGCTTAATTATTACGTGCAATACAAGATTTACGTGCAATACGAGCTTTATTTACGTGCAAAACGAGATTTATTTACGTGCAATGCGAGATTTACCGCAAAAAAATGGATTAAATCAACAAATAAATTATTATTAATCACACCGAGACTATACAAACTTTCAATTATGATTGGAATCATGGATAAAATACGAAAATATAAAGGAACGAGCTCACCATTGACGGCTTCTTCAGTATTCCACAGGTTGCAACAATCAATAAATTCACATCCGACCGAAGTGACCAAAATGATCCTCTGTTGAGGACTTTCGAAGGACCACCCTTTATTATAGGTCAAAGGGAACCCAAACACATTAACGAGAATTAATACTTTAATTGATTAACCATTTATTGCGGTACAAAACGAATTTTTAATTGATTATTAGTCAAACAATAACAACGTGATGTCGTGACATGCTCTCGAATCCGTCTCTCCTTATTGGTCGCGCCGAGCGATCCTATTGGTCGCGCTGAGCCATCCTATTGGTCGCTTGCCGTTCTTCCTGCAGCTGTTCTTGCGCGTTGCCAGATCCTTTTGAGTTGCTAGGTTTATTACGGCGTTGCCATGTTTAAGAATGTTGCTACACTTTTGTTCAATATAACAGTCTGATATAAGAAATTTGATTTGAATGTTCAAATAGATTTGAATGTCCAAACAACCAGTATGAGATTCGAAACAGGGATGGTCTGTTAGTCCTTTTCTACAGACTGAAAAAGTGTCAAAATGGCCCAAACTATTGGGCAATTAAGTACTTCAATAGACTACCTGAACGAGTGCAAGGCTTGCCAATAGAAAGATTCAAAGTCGAAATAAAGCAATATCTAATATCTCAGGCATTTTATTCCTGTGATGAAATGTTAAACAATGTGATAAACTTTTAAACCTGCTAAAATTCTGCATGTTAGCGTCTCTAGATTTGTTCTGATTTCAATATGTTTGTGATTTTTAATATGTTATGTAATTGTGATTTTAATATGTTATATACCCAATTGTAATTTTAATATTTTAATATATATAAGAATAATGTGTATGTAAACAGTCACGTTCTTGGCTATAGTTTATGTATATACCTACTTTATTTAATGACTTGTGTAAGTTGTATTTTACGATATTGACACCAATAAATTATCTATTTATCTATCTAACAAATATATACCCAGTTTATCAAAATATCCACCGTGCAATACTAAGCGATGCCAGAATTTGAAATAAATGATGTAATGAAAATAAAAGTCTCCTATAAACAGAATACCTACATTGAAAATCGAATTGTTTGGAAAGGAAAAGTTCGATAAGCTAATTATATTTTTCGTTCAGTAAATCTTGTTTTTAGAAACTATTTATTTCATTAAAAACTAAGAAGTTACAACAAAAAATACTAGATTCTAAATTGCTGCAGCAAAAAGCCGAGAACAAAAGAGTCTTTGATTCTAATTGGTATAGTCTAAGCTACAAAACAAGAAAATGAGGAGAGACGACTCTGCACGCCGTATTTATATTGAAATACTGCTGACGGTGCAACTGACTAGGCGAAACCTTGATATGACGGTACTTTTCCAAGCTGATTATCCCTTACTCGGCAGCTTTATAATATGTGGGCTTTTACAGTGGCGTAAGCCTATGCTTAACATTGAAAAGGGGAATTATTTGTATAATAATAACATAGGGTTTTATAATATAATTAGCTTCTCCCCTTTGTGACGTCAGACTTAGATAATCTATTGTGTGAACGCGGCTTACTAAGTGGTTTTGAAGATAATTAACCGTTGCAATACTTTTCTCTAACCCTGTATATTATGTAAAGCAGAGGTCCGAGTATAAAGCCGTGAGGGACCCCATTTCTTATCATCCTACTCTCCTAATTCTCTCCATTGACATTTGGTATTTTTCGCCTATCTGTGAGATACCATAATGCTTCAATTTGGCCACAAGAATTTCATGTGAGACGCAATCGAAGTTTATTGGGCACATAAATGCGCCACTTTTGTCTAATTTACCCACCCTTGTATCTCTAATGGTTACCGATATCCCCATGTTGACCTTCAAATTTGAGGGTCATTAATAAATAGCAAAAAAAAACACCATTATGTAATATTAGAATTGAATTTTGAGTGTTATTTATACATTGTCCTCTTAGCTTGTGAATTTCAATTCAGTGTGCTTTGTTATAGGATTTATTTCTTGACAAGAAAGTACATTTTTTATTCAATGTAAAAGTTTCAATTATTTATGTTAACACAAATACTCAATGATTCAGAAATAAACTGATATTTTTGTTTCTTTTTCAGTAACCAAGACCAAAGAAACTTTCCTACGCAAGTGACCATTGACTTTCGCCACAATCACAAAATCGATGCGGAAACCTACTGGAGACATCACTTGAGACAACTCAAATCATCGTACTATACAAATTTTGCCAACGGCCACTCATCGATGTCGGCGCACATACTACACAGATGCGATTTGCACAGCCTATATGGCTCTGACTTTTATAATATTATTTCTGACCCAATAAATTGTCCATCTTATAGTTGGTGTTGCCGTGAGTACAACAAATTTATCAGTAGCAATCCTGTTAAAGATCAAATGACAATCAGTGAGGCTGTTTTGTGTTACAACAATAAACACCGGGACAAGTGTGCAATTTTATTACACGAAAATGAAATAATGGCATTAAGTGCCCCGTTAATGAAAAGTATATTTTATGCGGGCTTTGGTAAGAATGTAATGTGGGTCAGGATTTTTTCAATGGCTGATCGTCAAAAAACTATTTTATTTTTATGTTACACCCCTATTGGGACTTTGCCTATAGGAGTTATAATAGCTCGCAATAACAATACAGACAATATTTGCGATGGTATTAAAGCACTCTTGGATTTATTAGGGGTAGATTATAATCCTGGTACTGTAATTTCCGATGATAGTCCTTTAATAAGTAATTGTTTGAAAAAATGTTTCCCAAAATCTCAAATTATTTTCAATCAATATCGCTTATTACAAAGGGCTTGGAGATTTTTAAGAAACATATGCACAGATGATAATGAAGAGTTTCAAATGTTATATAATTTATTTAAAGTGGCATTGAATAGTCCAACAAAAGAGGATTTTGATCAAAATTTTAAGGAATTTCTTGTTTATGTTGACATATATCCAGAGTTATCTAGTTTTATCAAAAATTTCAATTTAAGTGCTGATTCTTATTTGCTATATGCTCGTCCAAAAGGTGAATTAAGTAGCTCAGCTTTAAGTTACAGCGACTCTGGCACGATTATTTTACAAGACATTGTCACAAAATATGCCCAATATTTTAACTCAGTACAATTGTTTGATTTTTTAACAAAAAATTACGTGCAACATTACGAAAGGAAATTAGAGAAAATTGTCAATGGTGAGTTAAGGGGGTTTTTTAAAACAAACTTTTATGTTCCTTCAAATAGGATAATTGATTTAAGTTGTCAGGAAATTAGCCCTACGGAGTATTCAGTGAATTTTGAAAATGGCAGAAGTTTTTTTGTCAATTCAGAGTTAAAGTCTTGTACCTGTCAACTAACTGTGGAAGCTGGATCTTGTGTACATCAATATATTGTTGATAATCATAATGGATTAGTGCCAGAATGTCACACTTCCTTAAACGCTGATATATTTGAAATATTCGAATCCATTTTTAGTTCAATAGAAAAAACAAATAATGATAATCGTGTAGTGATAGAGGCTGTAGAAGAGAGTAATGATTTGTTGTGGTTGAATAATGACGATTCTACAGATGTTTTTGATGATATCAATTTGGCTGTATCATTAGAATCTTTGTCTGAGTTAAATGAGCGGGATTTTTTTAGCGATTTTAATTTTTTAATTGAAAACTCAAATATAGATTTTGAAGGTGCAAATCTACACAGTATTGAAACTTCTCTAAGAGAGGATATTCCCGAAATTAGTGCAGAAGTTGAAATTTCCAACATTAGAAATTCTTATAGTCTTTCAGATTTTGAAGCATTCCTCATCAATACGAGTGCAGAGAATGAAAATTTAAAAAGTCTTACAGATTATGAACGTGTAAGTGAAGTTGGGAATTCAAAAAGTCTTACAGATTATGAAATTCTTCCAGAAGAGGCAAAAAACATTACACATTCTGAAATTAATGCAGTTTCGAATAATACCAACTCTGAATATGCTCTAACTGAAGTTGAAAATTCAAATACTCTTAGAGATCATGAAATTCTTCCAGAAGGAGGTGAAACTTCAATTAATATTTCAAATTGTGAAATTATTGCAGAAGAAATTGTAATTTCAAACAAAAATTCTGATTATCTTACTGATTTTGAATTATTCCTCAATAAAGTTGCAATTTCAAATTCTAAAAACAGCCCGGATGAGGCTAAAAATCTACTCATTCTTACAAGTCCTGAAGTTGAAACAGAAGAATTTGAAGATAATACAGATTCTGATAATCTTTTACACACAGAATTTGAAATTACAAATTCTGGTCTTTCAAATGAAGTTGGCACTAATCTAGAAGAACTTGATACTTCATTAAATTTTGAAAATCCTCCACATCAAGCTGAAATTTCAAATGCAATGGTTGAAAACTCTAATAGTCTTGGAGATGATGAAATTCTTTCAAAAGAAGCTGATATTACAAATGATGCAAATGAAGTAGGCATTTCAAATATTTCAAACTCTGAAAATCTTCTAACTGAAGTTGGAATTTTAAGTGATGAAATTCTTTTGGAAGCTGAAGTTTCAGATAACATTACACATTCTGAAATAAATGCAGAAGAGGTGGTAACATCAAATAATACCAGCTCTGAAAATGTTTTAACTGAAGCTGAGAATTCAAATAGTCTTGAAGATCAAGAATTTTTTTCAGAATGTGCTGATATTACAGATTCCAAAATCAGTGCAAAACAAATTGGAATTTCTACAGATTTTGAAATGTTCTTCAATGAAGTTGATGCAGAGGTTGTAATTTCAAATTCTGAAAATTGTCCAGCTGACGATGAAGCTTTAATAATTCTTACAAGTGCTGAAATTAAAACAGAAGAAGATCCTGAACATTTTTCACATGCAGAAGAAGAAATTGCAAATACTGAAAATCTTCCACATCAAGTTGAAATTTCAAATATAGAGGTTGAAAATTCGGAAAGTCTAGGAGATTATGACATTCTTTCAAAAGAAGCTGAAATTACAAATGATGAAATCAATGCAAATGAAGTGGGTATTTCAAATGATTCAAACGCTGAAAATCTTCTATCTGAAGTTAAAAATTCAAATATTTCAAATTCTGATAATCTTCCAACTGAATTTAGAATTTCAAAGAGTCTTCCAGATAATGAAATTCTTCCGAAAGAAGCTGAACTTTCATATAACATTATACCTTCTGAAATTAACGCAGAAGTGGCAACATCAAATATTACCAACTCTGAAAATGTTCTAACCGAAGTTGAGAATTCAAATCGTCTTGGACATTATGAAATTCTCCCAGAAGGTGCTGATATTGATGTTACAGATTCCGAAATTAGTGCAAAAGAAATTGAAATTTCAAACCTTGGAATTTCTTCAAATCTTGAAATGTTCTTCAATGAAGTTGATACAGAGGTTGTAATTTCAAATTCTAAAAATTGTCCCAATGAGGATGAAAGTTTGATCATTCTTACAAGTGCTGAAATTAAAACCGAAGAAGATGAGATTCCAAATATTACCAATCCTGAAAATTTTTCATGTACAGTAGAAGAAATTACAAATTCTGAAAATCTCCCACATCAAGATGAAATTTCAATTGCAGAGGTTGAAAATTCAGCAAGTTTCGGAGATCATGAAATTCTTTCAAGAGAAGTTGAGATTACAAATAATGAAATCGATACAAATGAAGTTGGTATTCCAAATATTTTAAACTCTGAAAATCTTCTGACTGAAGTTGGCATTTCAAAGAGTCTTAAAGATAATGAATTTTTTGCGGGAAAAGCTGATATGTCAAATAACATTACACATTCTGAAATCATTGCAAAAGAAGTTGGTATTTCAAATTCTGAAAATCTTCTAGCTGAAGTTGGGATTTCTAAGAGTCTTTCAGACAATAAAATTCTTCCGGAAGAAGCTGTACTTTCAAATAACATTATACACTCTGAAATTAATGCAGACGTGTCAAATATTACCAACTCTGAAAATGTTCTAACTGAAGTTATTGAAAATTTTAGAGATTTTGAAATGTTCCCCAATGAAGATACAATTTCAAATGCAGAGGTTGTAATTACAAATTCTGAAAATTACCCAAATGAGGATGAAAATTTAATTATTCTTACAAGTGCGGAGATTAAAACAGAAGAAGATGAAATTCCAAATATTACAAATCCTGAAAATATTTCACATACAGATACAGAAGAAGAAATTGCAAATTCTGAAAATATCCCACGTCCAGTAGAAATTTCAAATGCAGAGATTGAAAATTCAGACAATCTAGGAGATCATGATATTCTTTCAGGAGAAGCTGAAATTACAAATGACAGAATCGATGAAAATGAAGTGGGTATTTCAAATATTTCAAACTCTGAAAATCTTCCAACTGAAGTTGGAATTTCAAAGAATGTTTCAGGTAATGAAATTCTTCCAGGAGAAGCGGAACTTTCATATAACATTACGTCTTCTGAAATTAATGCAGAAGTGGCGACTTCAAATATTATCGACTCTGAAAATATTCCAACTGACGTTCAGAATTCTAACTGTCTTGGAGATCATGAAATTCTTTCAGAAGGTACTGATATATCAGTGGTAAGTGATATATCACTTGATATGACAAATTTCGAAATCAGTGAAAACGAAATTGCAAACATTGCAAATTATGCAGATATTGAAATGTTCCTCAATGAAGATACAATGTCAAATGCAGAGGTTGTAATTTCAAATTTCGAAGATTGCCCCAATGAGGATGAAAATTTAATCATTCTTACAAGTGCTGAAATTAAAACGGAAGAAGATGAGATTCCAAATATTACAAATCCTGAAAATCTTTTATATACAGGAGAAGAAATTTCAAATGCAGAGGTTGAAAATTCGGAAAGTCTAGGAAATCATGACATTCTTTCAAGAGAAGCTGAAATTACCAATTACGAAATCAATGCGAATGGAGTTGGTATTTCAAATTCTGAAAATCTTCTAAATGAAGTTGGAATTTCAAAAAGGCTTGCAAATAATGAAATTCTTTCGGCTGATATTTCAAATAACATTACACTTTCAGGAATCAATGAAAAACAAGTTGCAAACTCAAATAATACCAACTGTGAATATGCTGTAACTGAAGCTGAGAGCTCAAATAGTCTTAGAAATTATAAAATTCTTCCAGGATGTGCTGACATTCTTACAAATTCTGATAATTTTCCACATACAGAACCAGAAATTGCAAATTCTGAAAATCTTACAGAAATTATAAATTCTCAAAATCTTCCAAATGAAATTAGCAGTGTTACAGATTGTGAAATTAATACAGAAGAAATTGAAACTTTGACAAATTCTGTAAATCTTCCACATCAAGTTGATATTTCAAAAGCCGAGGTTGTGAATTCCAAATGTCTCGGAGATCGTGAAATTACAAATTCCGAAATCAATACAAGTAAAGTTGGTGTTTCAAATGTTGCAAATTCTAAAACAGAAGTTGGAAATTTGAATGTACATTTTGATAATTCTTCAAAGGAGGTTGTTTCCGAAGAACTTGAAAATTTGACTAAAGCTCATCTAAGGAAGGATATTGCAGGTTTTAGAAATTCTTTAGAAAAAAATCGAAATTCATATTCAAATTCTAATAATTCTTCAAAAAAAGACGAAAATATGAAGCGGCATACATCAGATTTTGGAATTCCAAAAGAAATGGATGTAACAGATTCAAAATTTTCCTCTAGAAAAAATGAAGATTCAAATATTATAAATCCACAAAATTCTCCAGTAGAAACTGAAACTGGTAATATTTTTTCAAATTTTCTTCTGCCAAGCGAAATTAGGGCTTCAAGAGTTCATGAAGATGTTGAAATTACTGACAACCCTCTGGAAAATATTGAGAATGAAAATAATTCCGATTCTGATTCAATTATTCTAGATTATGAAGATTTACTAGAAGTAACCAGCTATTCAAATTGTACACATTCTGAAAATTTTTATGAAGAATTTGGAAATTTCAATATCAATTATTCTGAAGTTCAAAATTTTGATTATGAAATTTTTTCAGAAGAGGCTGAACCCTCAAAAAACTTTACTCATTCTGAAATTAATACAAGAGAAGTTGCAAATTCAAATAACATTAACTTTGAATATGCTTTAATTGAAGTTGAAAATTCAAAAAGTCTTACAGATCAAGAAATTCTCCCTGAAATTCCAAATAAAATTGTAAATTTCGAAGTCAATGCAAAAGAAGGGGAAATTTCAAATATTCCAATCTCTGAAAATCTAACTGAAGTTGAAAATACAGATAGTGTTAGAGATAATGGAATTTTTCCGATAGAAGCCGAAAGTTATTTGAATTCTCAAATTCCTCCAAAAGAAGTTGAAATTTCAAATTTCAAAACAAATTCTGCTCAACTCCAAAATTCAAGTCTTACATTTCCTATGTCACTTGTAGAAGAAAATGAACATACCAATCTTATTAGAAACTCCGAAATTGCTTGCGACAATTCATCAAATTTTGAAACTCCTGAGAGTTCAAATTATGTAACAATTATTCCACAAGTAGTTGAAAGTGTAAACGTTACAAATTCTAAACAATTTGAAAATTTGAAATCTGGAACTCCTCCAGAAGACCATGATCAGGTATACATTATTGATGACGAAATTGCTTCATCACAAATTGAAAGTAATCATGCAGAAAACCATGTTCAAATCTACAATAAACCTACCAAAAACTACCAAAACAAAATTGCGCCAATTTTAGATATAAATCAGGTAATATCTGCCACTTTGAAGAATGTAAAAAAAATTATCAAGAAAAAGAGTCTTTTGTCTGAAGAGAGTCCAAATTCTGAGAAAGTTAAAAAACTTAGAAATAAAAAAGCCATTCAAACTTCAGGTGAAATTTCAGCAAGTTCAGGGGTAATAATTGCCGACAAAAACCAAGCATTAGGCAAAACAAAATTAGTTGACAGTCCAGCCGAAATCGTAGAATCGGTTGAAATCGTAGAATCGATTGACGTCATCAATTTGATTTCGGATGAGGAGGAATCACCCACACAAAATCCAGATTCTAATTCATCTGAAAAAAAACACATAAAACCTGTGAAAAGTGTTGCAAAATCAATAGTAGAAAATCCTAAAGATAAAATAAACTTGTCTGAAATATTCTCACCAGCAACTGGAAAAGATGGACCAAAATCTGACCAACAATTGCGTGAGAAAATTTCAAAATTAAAGGAATTAGTTGACCTGTCAGATTCTGATGAAAGTTTTTCCTCCAGTGATAATTTTAAAGGATTTCCACATTACCCCCACATTTGCATCGATCACAGTTCGAAATCAAAAGCCGTTTATATTTCTTCTCCAAATGAAAATGATTTGTGCACCGATTCCAATTTCTCTACTGATAGTGAAGACGAGGATCTTCTTCAGTGGATGATCGGAGAAGATAAAAATAGGTCTATTATTGGGAAGAAGATTGCTAGGGATTCAAGTTCTCAAATGAAACAAATAGAAGAGAAACAGGAAAGACCACAAAATGAACATTTAGATAGTGACGATTCACTGAGAAAATCAAAGAGTAGTGATAGACTGCCCGAAAGACCACAACATGTATATTTGGGAGATAAAAATTCTGACAGTGTTGATTCACGAATAAAATCGCCAAAGAAACGGGGAAGACCACCTAAAAGACTGAAAAATCAAAATTTCAGCACAAACGAGGTTCATGAACCAGGAAATTTGGACTTTGATATTAACAATTTGGAACAACATTCAACTGAAGAACAACCAAAGAGAAGTGGAGAAGTGAGTAAAACAGCACAGAATAATAGTGACAATTCATTACAAAAACCAACAAGAAAACTACCAAGTAGAATACGTAGATTGCCTAAAAAATACATGGAAGAATCAGATTCTGATGAGAAAAGTAGAAGACCGACTAAAACACCAATACATTTCAATTATTCACATGTTGATAGTAGCAATTCGACAAGACAACACTCAAAGAGACCACCTGAAAGTTTACAAAATGAAAATAGTGATGATTCGGACATAAGAACCCCAGTTAGAAAACTGAAGAAATGGAAACAATCCCCTAAAAGACCGCACTATAGCGCAAATGAAACAGAAATTTTAGATTTTCATAGTAACAATTTTGAAATAAATTCAACCGTGAAACTACCAAAGAAAAGAGGAAGACCGACTAACACCTCTCAAAATGAAGATTTAGAGATTTCAATAAAACTCACAATAAAACAACCAAAGAAAAGTCGTAGATCGCCTATAAGATCACCAAATGAAATTTCAGACTCTGATAGTAATGATTTTGAAATCGAAACTTTGTTAAGAAAATCGAATTCAACTAGACTACAAAATGTAGATTCCGCTACTGACAGATCACAAACAAAATCGACTCTACGACAACCAAAAAGGCCTCGTACAAAACTTAAAAATGATTATTCCATCATGAATGAATCTGGATATTCAGAAATGTCAAAAATCAATAATGCCAAGTTAACTGAAATACAACCTGCGAAAAATAGGAATGAACTGTCAAATATTGAACGACCGGTAAAAAGACGAAAAAATGAGCCTTCAAAAACAAAAGATAGGGTCGATTTAGGAAAAAAAGGAAGAGGAAGATCCGATTTAATGGTAAATTTGGAGAAAAATTTAGATGTAGAAAAAATGTGTCGGGAGTTAAAAAGGTGAAAAACAACAAAGATGAAAAAATCTTTGAAATAATATTATTTGATATACAGGGTGTCAAAAATACCATGGGCCTTCATTGGTAAGAGATACGAATGCGGCTGTTAAATTAGAAAAAAAATTCCATTTTCGAACGTTATTAAAAATATATTTTCGTTGTTGCCAAATTTCTATTAGTTTCCGGAGATACAGGGTAATTTGTTAAAAAAACAGTTGTAGGTTTTTGTCTAATAGAAATTTGGTAACAGCAAAAAAATATTTTCAATAATCTTAATAAAGAAAATGGTAACTTTTTTCTAATTTAATTGCCTTCGTATCTCTTACCGCTTCTGATATGCATACCAATAGTGGTCTATGGTATTTTAGACACCCTATGTATACATATTTAAAAAAATCTTTTGTTGGACTGTTGCCAATTGTACTTAGAAAGGTATTTATGTTTTTTTTTTTATTATATTACCTACATATTATGTTACACAATTGTGTCATTTAGATAGTTATACAGAGTGTCTGGGATATTATGTTTTATTATTTCTATTTCAGAAATGATAAGATATCTGAGATTGGTTGAATAGGAAAAAAAAAATATATTTTAGCTCATTCAGGTTGAAAGAGCTGACCGACTCTCGCAACCTAAGATCACCTTCATAATTAAAGTTGAAAGTTGCCTGATTTTCTTATTTTTTATGCTTTATTTCTTGTAGTTAACTTTTTATCTTATTTTGTGTAAGGTTGTTCAACCTTAAAGGAGATTAAAAAAAAGGTTTCAAAGAACATTCTAGAAAGCAATAGTTAAATCTTGTATTTGGATACCCAGTATATAATATTTTATGTTATGCGTTAAGTGTTATCCATTGTCCACCATCAAAAAAACTGTAAAATATGCATATTTCATATAGTGTATAGTGTATAGCGTTATTTTTTTATATATTTATAACTTCAGATTATATTGTATTAAAAAAGATGATTTTACTTTTTTATTAATACCCCTTTTTTTCGGCTTCTGATCCAATAGAAACACTGATCAATGTTTAGTGAATTGAAAATGTCTTCAGTGGACATGTACAGATTGGGCCAATAGGAAGCGTCATTTGCCAATCTCGACAATCTTTGAACAAGATAGAGAAAAATCAACCAGCCCCCACTCTGAAGCTTGTTACAAATAAATAAGTTATTTGAACATAAGATAACCTAGGGTCGTGGAATTCAAAAAATTAAAATCACGTGTAGCCCCTTTATGTGCAAATCAGAGATAAATACTATATAAACTGTCGAGAATGGAATCTCAGCGTAAATTTTGTTGTCAACAAAATTGAGCCAAGCCAGCGCCATCTACCATATTGGAAACTCACTATTTACTGGTTTTGCATCGACGCTACAGACACCTACTTTACATAGGGCTTCAAAGCATTTTTATGATAGATGGCGCCCTGTTCGCATTACAGTCGGTCTGATCAAATTTGTTTATTCTAGACTCTAATGTTTGCTTAAATTAATTAATGTTTTGTTAATTAGATCAAAAGACAGTTCCTTTATCGATGGTTAAGGATATCCTTAACATATTTATTCAAAGTTCTGTTGTTCTGTTTAATTGAACCTGTCATTAATCTAATCAACAAAGATAAAAATAGATCTTCCAATCCATAAAGTTTGAAGGTCTTCGTGAAACACACAAAATCACTTTGAAAAAACACTTAACTTAAAGTTAACGTATTTCGTTTCCTAGGTATTAAGGATCTATAATAATTAAGTAGAAAATAAAATATCATAATTTCCCATATTTCCGGCACGTGAAAGTGGCCCATTATTAACCACAAAATAATGAGGAAAAGTGTTCATCGTATACAATAAAGTTGTGTATTTTTTTTAAGAATCTTAAGTCATACAGCTGAGCTTTATTCATTCCAAACGTTTTATTTAAAAAAATACAAAGAAAAGCGAAAAGCACCAAATTAGGGATTCCAAACGACGCTACTTTGCCAACCAGCCTGCATTTTGAACTTTTTAAGCCCGGGACACATCTATCATGCATTCTTCCGATCCGACTCCGATCATACAATCAAGGTCATTATTCTTGGAACAGGGTAGCAGCGGAACACTCGTTCTCTTTGGGAACGCTGTTCCCTGTTCCAAGAATAAGGACCTTGATTGTATGATCGGAGTCGAATCGGAAGAATGCATGATAGATGTGTCCCGGGCTTCATGCATTCTTCCGATCCGACTCCGATCATACAATCAGGGTCCTTATTCTTGGAACAAAGAGCAGCGTTCCCCAGGAGAACGAGTGTTCCGCTGCTCCCCTGTTCCAAGAATAAGGACATTGATTGTATGATCGGAGTCGGATCGGAAAACGCCTTTTTAGATCTCGTTTGCATCTTCCCCTTTGCCTATTATGTTATTCAAAATAAAATATTTTTTTTTCATCATTAATGTACATATATTTTAAACTACGATCGCTGGCGCAAATAACTGGCGACGTAATTGATGACGTTGTCAATGGTGCTACACAATACGGCTGCGATTTCCAAAAGCGAGGATGTGTCGATACGAAAATCCGTCACGAATATATTTTTCAACATGGCGTTGCTGAATCATTAGGTTTGTTCGGAATCAGTGCTGAATTGAAATGCGATTGAGCATTTGTTTATACAGGGATGTAGTTAGGTATGGAAACAGTTCTATATTCCAGAATGCGCCTAAAAAAATTTACAATATTTCCTACCTTGGGGTTTTTGGGAATGCCCGATTTAATAATGGCATTTGCAATGTTGCCAAACCAAACCTCAATTTGACTTGATTTTTGAAATATGGCAACACAGCTTTTTCGTTGAAATGTTTGGAAACGGTCTCTCATTTCAGAAAAGGCTTATTTAGAAAAATGTGCCAATGCGTATGCAAGACTAGGGGGGTTGGTACTGGGTTCAGCCACTTAGCAGGGACTTTCTTCTCGAAACAGTGGAGCAGCGTTTTCATGAGAACCAAGGTTTTGTCTTCGTCGTGCGTATTTATATTTTCATAACACTGACAATGACAGAGCAATCGTTCTCATGAGAACGCTGTTCCTCGGTTTCGAGAATAAAATCCCTGCTGAGTGGTTGAGCTTCGAGCTTAGCCGCTAGCACCGCCTGAATGTACCCATTGTACATTTTTAAAACCTGTTCTGAAATGAGAGATCGTTTCCGAAAATATCAACGAAACAGCTGTGCTGTGTTGCCATATTTCAAAAACCAAGTCAAATAAAATTTTGGCATTCAGGGGTTTCAGTAATTTTAAGACGCTGTACCTATTGATTACAATAAAAATGAAGAGGAAGTTTCAGTTAAAGGGGGTGTGACCCAAAAATGAAAGTTTTAGTGCAATAAAATCTAAAAATATTTGAACCGCATCTTACTACGATGAACCGTTTTCGAGTTAGAGCGTTTTAAAGTTACAAACGCCTAGGCTGTGACGTCACACCGGCTTCGAAGGCACAGTTTTAACACGTGTGAGAATTTTCTAAAACAAAAAGTCCACAATCTCACTTAAAGCGAATTGCAACCACCAACCACTCCAAAGTATAGGGCCAGGTTCACTGAGAACTGAACGAACAAAGGGCTGTCATTTCGGTGTTTAGCCGGTGTGACGTCACAAGTTTTCGCATAATTTCTCTTCATAAGGAATTTCTTCGGATACTATTTTGAATATAGGACTGCGATTCTCACGAGAGATCTTAGATTATTTTTTTTATTTGAGTAGTTTAAGTTGTTTTTTTGTGTCACATCAAAGTTAATAGATTGCCTGATAATAGGTAACTTGATGACGTATCTGGGGTGCCTTATGGAGATTTGAATTATGTTTAGGCACCCCAGATGACGTCATAAAGTTATTAGGCAACCCACCTCTCACAAACAACCTTGAGTGAGTCACACATCCTTTAACCAAAACAGTTTCTGTTTTACAAATGATGACGTAACTGTGCTAAATACCTAGTTGCGAAAACACTCCTTAGAACTGATGGCGATTTCGATTTGATTGCACTTTTTTGAAGTGAAACTTCTTAACGCGCGCTGGGAGTACCTACAATTTCAAGGCCGTGACGTGAATAAATAGCACAAACTAAAAATGCAACCAACAAAAATAAATATTAAATTCTTGGTGAAAATAAACAGGTGTCGGCTGACGTGAGTGAGAGTGAAATAGAAAAGAACTGCGGCTCGGCAACCGATCAACCGTCCACGCAACCGGATTTATGACGTCACACATAAGTCTCAAACCTCTAAACAGCAAAAGCATGAGAAAATAAAAGAAGGAGTATTATAAAGTTAAGAAAAATTATGGTAAATTATGTATTATTGCATTCGCGATTTTACTATGTATTTTTCTGCAAAATTATGGTACAAATACATAATTATGGTACGCCTGGCAACACTGGTTGGAGGTGTTTTATTCTCGCGTCTCAAAGTTTTGGAACATTTTTCAAAACTGGTTTAAAACAGTTTCACAATGACGTCATAACTTCTCGGCGCCAGATAATGGTTTTGAAACGTGGATTGGATTGTATTTCGAAACGGTTTGAACCTTAGATGAACCAATTTTGATGTGACGTTATGGGTTCTTCAAACCTGAACCGAATTTTCGCGATTAACTACTTCCATGATTTCATGAACAGAAATGCTTTCGCGAGAAACTCATGACGTCATATTGAACGTGGTTCGACGGAATCATTGACGCAGCTTCCAGTCAGCGTTCAAACTCATGACGTCACAGACGAGCTATGGATATGACTGTTTTGAACCAGTTTCAAAAAAGTTAACGCGAGAAAACAGCTCTGGGTTTGTTCGGACTTAGTTCAGAATCAGTTTTAAATTGAACTGCGCTTGCGTATTTTTTTAATGTTCGATATGAACAAATGCGCAAGCGCAGTTCAATTCAGAACTGATTCTGAACTAAGTCCGAACAAACCCATTGCTGAATGATGTCAAATTCCAACGTCACTGTATTGCAGTTTAATAGGTCAATAATAGATGGCCACGCCACAATAACTAGGGCCCGATTCTCGCCTCAGGGAATGGAGCTAGAGCTCCTCGAGAGAACAAATTTTTCGTTTTTATCATTCTCGTTTACTTCTCGAATATGGTGACAAGGACAAAACATTCGTTCTATCGGGGAGCTCTACTCTCTGAGACATAGGCGCCGGCTTTCCGAAATCTGTATGGGTGCTTAGCCAAAGGCGGCATTAAATAGGTAAAGGTTTATTTTTGGTGCCACTCCACTCCTAAATAGTAGGTATATATTTCCTAACTAGTGCGGAAAGTGTCACTTTTCCGCTCGCGATTGCAGAAAGCAATAAGTGAGAAAAAGAGAATTTTCGCACGAATTAAGAACACAATTTTTTTCTACGAGATAAAAGTTAATATTTGTACCAATTATTTGTACCAATTTTTAAAATTTTCCGCACCTGTCTGTAGTATACCTGTAGCCTTTAGGTACCTGTATACCTACCAATAGTAGGTATTCTACTTTTCCGTACTAGTACGAAAAAGTGGGGTCTCATGCACGCACGCTCGTAGAAAGTTTTCGAATCCTTTTTAAAAAAACTCAAAAATCTGCAGAAAAATTTCCTTTATCAACTTATTCAATTAATACCTATCAACCTCAAAAAAATGTCTACAGAATATGTTGTACTTGACTGAGATTGGGATTCCCAGAATTGTAAAGTGTAAAGCCGGGCTCACACGACTCGTGTACTTGGCGAATACACAATTATTCGCGTACTTGGCAAGTATACTAGCTTTGGGAATTGCGATGGCAAGCAGGGCGCTCACACGACATGTTCAATTCACAAGTACGCCAGCGCGAACATTTGGCTAAACCTTGATGCTCGTCGAAAACTAAATGAAATAGTCGCAGTAAAAGCCAATTATTTGTGCATTTCGTTTGAGCGCCTTTACAAGTATAGTCAAGTATGAACTTGGCAAGTGTACGAATAATGGTGATCCCTTTGACTTTGACTCGGGACATTTTTACCGACAAGAAATGGAAAACCAACGAGTGACGAATAATTGTACAAGTAACCCCCTCACACGACATGGCAAGTATACGCAAGTAACGATTATTCGCCAAGTACACGAGTCGTTTGAGCCCGGCTTAAAACAGAACAGCGCACCCATGGCCGCCATTCAACAGTCTGTCTAATAGCGTTTTCCATTTGTCGAACCAGCGCAAATAAATGTATCCTTAGCCTTACATGTTACATGCTTTTAGAAAAGGATGCGGATAAACTCAGTGCGCACTGATTGATAAATGGAAATTGCCATAAGCAAAAGCCACTCGACTCGCTGATTGGATCTCTTGGATCTTGGATCAGACCCAAGGATATTATGTGATATTATGAAGGATATTATACACTACACAAGTTATTGCTCATCTGTCGATATTTTTCGGATCAAGGTCATAATAGGCGTTTTCGGAAACGGTGTAACCGGAATAGCGTTTCCAAAAAGACCTATTGTGTAGCGCTGATTGCGTCAGCGGTTTTTTGAAGAACCACAGCTGTGAAACTTTTAGGCGGCGGTCGGATATTTGGACGAGAATGGAGAGTGATTTGAAAAACGCGTCACGGGCAAATTTCGTTACCTGAGAGAGAAGAAATAAGATACAACTTAAAGAGATGGAGAAAGACAACAACTGATTGAAACAAACAAAGGATTATAAGCGCAAAGAGGATTGCCTATTATTGACAAGCGCTGATACCCTTGTGATGTCACTACAGATGCGCGTCTCCTTTTTGTTATACTATTATCATTGTGTCCTGTGATTATTTTCGTTATTTATACATTTGGGTCCTGTGCTTTTTGGAGTGAAACTTCTCAAGCGACGGTCTGATCTTTAGACGAGAATGGAAAGGGATTTAAAAGACGCGTTACGTTTTGGCAAATTTCGTTACACGAGAGAGAAGAAAAATATAACGTAGAGGGACGGAGAAAGACAGGCAATGACAATGACAACCGACGAATCTTGACACAAACCAAGGATTATAAACTATTAATGGTCACGTTCACCAGCACTCAACATGTTGAGTGATTAGTGAACGGCTTTGTTGAAAACAGATGAAAATCAGCTCTAGACTAATCAAAACTGTTCTACCTTGTGTATTCCACTTGTTGGAACAAAGCTGTTTACTAATCACTCAACATGTTGAGTACTGGTGAACGCGACCATTGTCAAGCGCTGATACTCTTGTGACGTCACTACAGATGTTTTCCTTCGTCTAAAAGTTGTATTGAGGGGGGATAATTTTTAAGAAGTTTCACTTCTACCACGTGTACGGCGCTGCACATGTGTTTTTGGTTGTTGTTGATTTTTTCATTACCTGATAACTAGAGAAATTAGACATTCAAAATTTTTCAGTATGGGTGCTTGGAAATTATACATTTGAAATTTTTCCTATGGGTGCTCCGGACGATTGGGGTAAGCTCGGGGACAGGTGAATGGTTGAGCGGCACTAAAAGTACTTTTGCTGCCGCTGGGGTTACCAAGCAGCATAGAAATTAAATTTCTACCACCTCGACAGGTGTTAACCCGCTGGATTTGCTTAACAGCATAGAAATCAAATTTCTGACGTCTTGACAGGGGTTAACAAAGTGACGTTTTTCTGACACTTGGAGAAAAATAAATTATTCGGATTAAAAGCCACCGAAAAGCTTTCCCCCCCACCCCTTGTAATCAAGAAGACGAGGCCTTAGGGCCGGTTTATCAATCAAGGGATGGATAACTCGCAGAGTTTGCTGGCCCTGGGTTAATTATAACTCTGGGCTAACTAACCACTCAATTCGAAAAGTGTTTATCCAAGCTTTTTCAACCCAGGGCTGGTAAATTCTTGGGTTCTTTGAAGGTTGGCATTACTTATGCAACGTTGCCAACTCACTATTGTCGATTTTTTGACATTTTCTGCTCATAACCTTACTTTTTTATGGTATTTTTTGTCTCCGTAACGAAAATTTCGATATCGTGTACTTACCTATTCTGTGTGGAAAGATGTTGTTTTGTTTTAAAGAGAAGAAAATGTCTGAGAGAAAAAACCACAAGCATAGGTGGTACCTGTCTGTTGGGAATTCCAGTCTATGCTCGATTTTCGATTTGTTCTAGGACAAATAAAATTGTTTCTTTTCATAAGCGAAACGTCATCAAAATCGTCAAAGGGATTAGGAATTTGACTTCAACCTTACATGGTAGGGGCGTCGCTCATGTTCTAGAAATTCTAGAACATCTCGATCATCATCACTGCAATCTAGGTCCTTCATTTCTTCAGAATTTCAAAATTTAAGCCAAAACCACAACATTCAAAAAAATTCAGACAAAAAATAACAGAAAATGTTGAGGTTAACCCAGGGTCAAATACGCTAACTTGCCGTGAGAGCGCGGGTTACCTTTTTCCTGGAATAAATTTCGAGTTAGCAGTTGACCCTCGATAGATAAACACTTGTCACAATTTTGACCCAGGGTTATTCCTAACTTATGTGGTAACCCTCTATTGATAAACCGGCCCTTATAAGGATAGGCCATCCTGTAGTAGTACTGTGTATCATCCTTTGTTTAAACAGCCTACGTCAATCAAGGCGAGAAATAACATGCTGCCTACGTCACAACTGGTAATTTTGAGGGAGGATTTGTTACACACAGGCCTTATGGCCCTTATGAGAAAAGACCATTCTGTAGGAGTAGTGTGTATCAATCCTTGAGAGGCACCGCCCTCGACGACGACATCGCCTACGTTGAATCGCTAGGCTGAATGACGAGCTAAGGATGACCTTTCCTCTTGTGGAGGTGCACAATGGGCCTTATTTGGCCTAAATGGCATACCTCTCGTTGAAAAATAGTTGAATCATAGCTCTAGTGCAGTTCGAACCAACATTTTTAAATGAGTGTCAAATGACTATTGTGCAGTCAGCAATATTTCATTGCGTAATCCGTACTGAGTCTAATTGCCAATCGCTTGCTACTCATATATAAGGCGTTTTCTCGCGGGGCGAATGGTTCGAACTACGGTTTAAACCAATTTGTAGATGACATCATCACTTGTGACCGCGAGAAAATGAAAGGTTTGAACCACAGTCTTATGTCAACGAATAACAAGCCATCAGCCGGTTTGAACTTTTTTGAACCAGGTTCAAGGTGACGTCACTGGTTCAACGCAAGAATGTACAGGTTCGAACCTAATTGAATCGGGTCGAACCAGTTCCACCGCGAGAAAACAGCTATGTAGGATCGCATTTAAATTTTATCTACGCTATTTATGCGCACTAGTGCACCAATTTTTTATCGACATTAGACGTTTAAAGCATTGAATATATGTCAACTGTCAAAAAAATGCGCACCGATTGCAATTGAACCGGGAATGAAATGGCCATGGTATTCTGTTCGGGGCATGGGGCAGATCAACTCTTCAAAGGATATAACATTTGCGTTACCAATTTGGGCTTTTGTTTGATATGGATAGGATGCGAAAAATCTGTTTCAGAATTTGTGAACAAAGCAAAGCGCCCCTTGAAAGCGCCCTATTATTTTCGACAGCTGACAGTTTTTTATTTGATATGTGTCATTACTGTCAATTGAACCATTCAAGATGGATTCAATTATTAGTTAATTCCAGAAAATAGTAAAATATTCTATAAATACTACATCTAAACTGAGAATTTTTCAAGAGATATACAACAAAAGTAAGTAGGTCACATAGAATCGACAAAAGGGAAGTTTCTTAATTAAATGTGCTTATTTTAGGTTTAAATCTATATCATCCCCCCATAATCATCAAGTCATGGAGCCCCAGAAAGCAGCAGCACCCAAAAGACCCTTCAAGGTAGTCCATGAAACCCTTAGCTTAACAGAAATCAATTTCGAACAAAAAAGCATCACTGGCTTTGTCGAATTAACAGTCATACCAATCCAAAAAAATATCCGTTTGATTAAATTAAACTCCAAACAATGCGAAATAGGCAAAATTTTATTAAACAATCAGTACGAGGCTCAATTCAAACATTTTGATCCGTTTTCGAACGCCCACTTGGAGACAGAAACAAGAAGTTTGGAGTTTTTTTCCAACTACCATTTTAAGGCTTCGCTAAAATCCGATCCAGACAATTGCTGTGGAGAGTTGATGATCAATATACCGCTGGAGGCCGCACATTTAGTAGCCAAAAACACACCTTTGAGAATCAAAATAGAGTTTTCGTTGCAACAACCTCGAGGAGGTTTACATTTTGTCGCACCCGCAACAAAAAGCGCCCACATGTTTACTTGGGGCCGTCAGAATTCTTCGAGATTGTGGTTTCCTTGTGTGGATAGTTTCGCCGAACCGTGCACATGGAAATTGGAATTCACCGTCGACAAAGACATGACTGCCGTTTCAAATGGAGACTTGATCGAGGTAGTATTCAGTCCAGATATGAGACGCAAAACTTATTATTATTCTTTGAATGTGCCCACATGCGCACCAAATATTGGTTTAGCGGTAGGATTTTTTGAGGTTTTTGTTGACCCGCATATGCACGAAGTAAGCCATTTCTGCTTACCTGGCTTACTTCCTCTATTGAAAGTTGCTACAAGATATGTGTATGAGACTTTTGAGTTTTATGAAGATACTTTATCTTCTAGATATCCGTTTAGTTGTTATAAACAAGTTTTTGTCGATGAAGCTTGTGAAGATTATCACGCTTATTCCACAATGAGTATTTTGAGTATCAATTTATTACATTTTGCCGTTATCATCGAGCAAGTTCCTATCACAAGAAAAATTATGGCTCAGGCAATATCTGAACAATTTTTTGGTTGTTTTATATCCAGACAAAATTGGACGGATATGTGGCTAAACAAGGGCATCAGTCAATATTTGTGTGGGTTGTATTTCAAAAAAACTTTCGGTAATAATGAGTACCGGGACATGATTCATTGTACGATGCAGGAATTGATCAAATACGAAGAGGAATATGGGGGGATCGTTTTGGATCCAAGTGAACCTCCTGTAGGTGACATCGCTTTCGAAGCAGCACAAAATTTTTATTTTTCCACAAAAAGTCCACAAACAATGTCTCCAACGTATATCGATGCCCTACACAAGAAAGCCCTTCTAGTAATTAGGATGCTAGAACATAGAATCGGGCTTGAATCATTGTTAAAAGTTTTCAATCGACAATTATTTTTGGCTAGTAACACAATCGAATGCGGATTGTGGGTACACATGCTAATAAGCACAAATGTATTTGCTAAGTCCATATTAACATTTACGCATAAAGATATAACGGATTTTCTTGATCTATGGGTTCGCACGGGTGGACATGTAAAATTTCATGTCAAATCAGCATTTAATAGAAAAAAAAAATCTATCGAGCTGGAAATAAGGCAAGATTCCACTTCTCAGCTTGGCATCAAGGCATACATCGGTCCTCTTAGGCTTTCTATGCAAGAATCCGATGGCTATTTCAATTACTACTTGCAAATTGAAAACTTTGCTGCAAGAGTCAATGTTGTTTGTCACTCAAAATATAGACGAAATAAAAAAAAGAAAATACCACTTTGCACTGGCGAAGAAGCTGATATCGATTTAAGCGCAATAATGGACGAGTCACCGATTTTATGGGTCCAATTGGATCCCGAAATGACTTTAATAAGATCCGTTGTCATCGAACAAACCGAGTATAAATGGCAATTTCAGTTCATACACTCGCGGGACGTTGTAGCTCAAACTGAAGCATTGGCAGCTTTGGAACACTATCCATCTACTGCCACAAGACTTCTACTTACCGACACAATTCAGGACGAGCTTTGTTATTATAAAGTCAGATGTAGAGCGGCGCATTGCCTCACAAAAGTTGCTAACGCTATGGTGGGTAATTGGGCAGGACCTCCGCCAATGTTAGCCATATTTAAAAAGTACTTTGCTTCTTTTGCGGCTCCACACATCACAAAAGAGAACAACTTTGAAGATTTTCAACATTATTTCATCCAAAAAACCTTACCGGTGGCGATGGCCGGTTTGAGAACTGTCCATGGGATTATGTGCCCGCCAGAAGTCTTGAAATTTTTGCTCAATTTGCTCAAATACAATGACAATACTAAAAATAGGTTTTCTGATTGTTATTATAAAGCTGCTCTGGTGCGAGCTTTGGGCAGAACCATTACTCCTTGTGTGGTGGCTCGTGATGGTCCAATAGCTGCTGAGAATCTCGCTTTATGGACACAATCAATTCTAGAAATAGTTACAACGAAATTAAACTTGGAAAAAAAGATCCCTTGTTACAAATACGTCGTTTCAGTTGAGTGTTTGAAAGTCATAAGAAAATTGCAACGCTTTGGGCATTTGCCAAGAAATACAGAATTATTCAAGTTTCTTGCCGAATATGGCCATTTTATCGATGTACGTTTGGCTGCTCTAGAATGCTTAATGGAAATTATTAAAGAGAATGGCACATCTGAGGATCTAAGCTATGTCTTGGATATTCTTGAAAACGACCCAGATCCAGGACTTAGACACAAACTGGCCCAAATACTAATCAAAAAACCGCCTTTTAAGAGAGCACATGGATCCATGTTAGACACTCCAGACTTAGTGGAACGAATATGGACCAACATAACTTCACTGACATGTTATGATACACAACTCCGTGGCGATTTCGTGGATATCTACTATTCTTTGTACAGCAATAAACAGCCAATTTGTGTTCCTTTGAGGGTAGTTACTGAAATAGTGCAACCTAGTGTGAAGAGGTTCAAACCTGAATTGGCACTTTTAAGGCAAGATCTTACTGATAATGCAAATAATTGTAGCAGATGGATGAATCTATTCGGAGCAGGTCTATTGAAAACTGAACCAAAGCTACAAGAAAACGATCCAGGCCCGTTTGAAAAACAATCCAGTTTCAATGCGAAGCGCAAAGATACCCAACCGAAGTATCTTCGTAAGATTAAAATCAAAAGAGAAAACTCTAGTTCGTGCACTGTAACTATTATTGATGAAGAATAATTTCAATTTAGCTTTAATTTTTTGTTATCCATGTAATAAGTTTTGTTGTACCAGCTTTAAAATAAATGAGTTTAATTTTGCTTTTGCCTCTATTTTTCAGATTTGATAGGGTAGAAAAAAAACATAAAACCACCAATAAATATTTGTCTAGAAATACTTTTTATATAAATATTGTTTTGAAGTAGACACTTTGACCGAAGTTCCCATATAAAACCATTTTTTCCAAGTTTCAAGAAAATTATTTACTCACCATTCGTCTTTCTCGGGCAGCAACTTTCCTTTTATCAGGCTCACTCTGAGCAACGATAATACACACTATTATAGTCTGGCAAACCAGACGGCGAAGTGCCAAGCAATTTACTGCCTTGCCAAACTTAACGGAAACAATAATAAACAAGTTGCTTTCAGATTTTTTTTTTTTTTTTTGAATATGGGGTACCTGTGTAGTATTTTGAAATAGAAAAAATCCGACAACATTGCGAAATAAAGAATGTGGAGAGGCGTGACTATTCCCTCGAGATTTGATCTACACAGGCCTTATGAGGATAAGCTATTCATAGTACCAGTGTGTATTATCCTTGCCGTATTCCAACCTCATGAAAATTTCAAAATGCCGACTGGTTGGTAAAGTAGTGTCGTTTGGATTTCCTAATTTGGTGCTTTTCGCTTTTCTTTGTATTTTTTTAATTAAAACGTTTGGAATGAATAAATGTCAGCTTTATGACTAAAACCTAGTACTCATAACTGCGAAATTTGCATTTTTTTGACATTGCTTCGACAATTTGACGTTTGATACACGCATAAAACGTCAAATTGTCAACGCAATGTCAAAAAAATGCGAATTTCGTGAGTACTAGGCTTTAAGATTCTTAAGAAAAATACACAACTTTATTGTATACGATGAACACTATTTTATAGCAAAATATATTAATTTCGGCAAAAAAACCGATTTTATTATGTATGTTTCCTCATTATTTTATAGTTATATAGGTAGAGTTCGGTTAATCATCTTCGAGCAAAAAAATGAGAACCACATGTGACCAGTTATGTAGCTTCAAATGGAAGATCACGTGAACTTGGGTCATCAATGTCATCTTTTAGCTCGCGGAGGATTAACCGAATTCGCCTATAATTTATTCGTGTAGATCGTAGATCAATGAATTATAACAAAAAACTAGAATGCGCACTAATTGCCAAATCTGCCAAAAAGTGAAGTTACCAAAGACGGATGCCACAAGGGGGAATGTTGCTCTTTTTTGTTGTTCGCTGACATATGATTTTTTGGAAAGTTTCTGGTTCAAAACAGGTTTGAAGAACCCGTGACGTCATATCAAAATTGGTTCAAATCTAATGTTCAAGCCGTTTCGAAATACAATCCAATCCACGTTTTACCACCATTTTCCTGCACCGAGAAGTTATGACGTCCACAATGACGTCATAACTTCTGTTTTAAACCAGTTTTGAAAAACGTTTCAAAGCCTTGAGAGACGAAAATAAAACACCTCTAACTGGCTGCGGGATTTTCGTGTCTCGAGCTCGTGGTATGTCACGTCTTGTCTTGAAATTGTAGGTACTACCAGCGCGCGTTAAGAAGTTTCACTTTAAAAAAGTGCAATCAAATCGAAATCGCCATCAGGTTCTGGAGATTTACCACAGTGACGTCATCATTTGTAAAACAGAAACTGTTTTGGTTAAAGGATGCCTGACTTAAGGTTGTTCGTGACAGGTGGGTAGCCTAATAACTTTATGACGCCATCTAGGGTGCCTAAACATAATGCAAATCTCCATAAGGCACCCCAGATACGTCATCAAGTTACCTATTATCAGGCAATCTATTAACTTTGGTGTGACCCAAAAAGAAACAACTTAAGCTACTTAAATCAAGAAAAAAGTCTAAGATCTCTCGTGAGAATCGCAGTCCTATATTCAAAATAGTATCCGAAGAAATTCCTTATGAACATAAATTATGCGAAAACTTGTGACGTCACACCGGCTAAACGCCGAAATGACAGCCCTTTGTTCGTTCAGTTCTCAGTGAACCTGGCTTTATACTTTGGAGTGGTTGGTGGTTGCAATTCGCTCTAGGTGAGATTGTGGACTTTTTGTTTTGGGAAATTCTTACACGTGTTAAAACTGTGCCTTTGAAGCCGGTGTGACGTCACAGCCTAGGCGTTTGTAACTTCAAACCGCCCTAACTCGAAAACGGTTCATCGTAGCAAGATGCGATTCTAATATTTATTCTTATATTTTTTTTTGCACTTGTTCATTTTGGGGTAACACCCTCTTTAACTGAAAGTTCCTCTTCATTTTTATTATAATCAATAGGTACAGCGTCTCAAAATTACTGAAACCCCTGAATGCCAAAACTCTATTTGAATTGGTTTTTGAAATATGGCAACACAGCTTTTTCGTTGATATTTTTGGAAATGGTCTCTCATTTCAGAACAGGCTTTAAAAATGTACATACAATGGATACATTCAGGCGGTGCTAGCGGCTCAGCCACTCAGCAGGGATTTTATTCTCGAAACTGAAGATAACAGCGTTCTCATGAGAACGATTGCTATGTGATTGTCAGTGTTATGCAAATATAAATCCGGACGACGAAGACAAAACCGTCGTTCTCATGAGAACGCTGCTTCACAGTTTCGAGAAGAAAGTCCCTGCGAAGTGGCTGAACCCAGTACCAACCCCCCTATAGTCTTGCATACGCATTGTCACATTTTTCTAAATAAGCCTTTTCTGAAATGAGAGACCGCTTCCATACATTTCAACGAAAAAGCTGTGTTGCCATATTTCAAAAATCAAGTCAAATAGAGGTTTGGTTTGGCAACATTGCAAATACCATTATTAAATCGGGCATTCCCAAAAACTGCAAGGTAGGAAATATTGTACATTTTTTTTTTAGGCGCATTCTGGAATATAGAACTGTTTCCATACTTAACGACAACCCTGTATAAACAAATGCGCAAACGCAGTTCAATTCAGTACTGATTCCGATCAAACCTAATGATTCAGCAACGCCATGTTGAAAAATATATCGTGACGGATTTTCGTATCGACATATCGTGTAGCACCATTGACAACGTCATCAATTACGTCGTCAGTTATTTGCGCCAGCGGTCGTAGTTTAGAATATATGTCCAATAATGATGAAAAATATTATTTAATTTTGATTAACATAATAGACAAAGGGGAATATGCAATCGAGATCTAAAAAAACGTTGTTTTAGAATTTCAGTGTACTGAAACCAAGTATGCATAAAGCAAAAAACCGTGGAATCATAACCTGTGCTGCAAACCCCCTACGTCAAGGCGAGAAACGACACCCGGCTACGTCATCACTGGTTCTTTGACGTGTTGGCTAGCGTGGAGAGCTTGAGATTTGATCTACACAGGCCTTATGAGGATAAGCCATCCTGTAGTAGGATGGCTTATCCTCATTTCAAAATGCAGGCTGATTGTCAAAGTAGCGTCGTTTGGAATCCCTAATTTGGTGCTTTCCGCTTTTCTTTGTTTTTTTTTTTTTTGATTAAAACTTTTTTAATAAATAATAAAGCTCACCTGTATGAATTAAGATTCTTAGGAAAAATACATAACTTTTTTGTATACGATGAACACTTTTCCTCATTATTTTGTGGTTAATAATTTCTTTATGTAGATAGAATTTCATAGCGATTGCAACTGGCAGATCTCTAGATTTACAGAAAAGTTGCTAACTTGTTGGAGTGAAACTTCTTAGGCGGCAGTCTCATATTTGGACGACAATGGAAAGTGATTTGAAAGACAATGGAAAGTGATTTGAAAAACGCGTCACGGGCAAATTTCGTTACTCGGGTGAGAAGAAAGATATGATGTAAAGAGACGGAGAAAGACAGCTATTGATAGACACAAAGACACAAACCAAGGATTATAAGCGCAAAGAGGATTGCCTATACTCAATTGACAAGCGCCAATAGCCTTGTGACGTCGCTACTGATGCGCGTCTCCCTTTTCTTATACACTATACACTATTATTATTGTGTTTTCTGATTATTTTCGTTATTTTTACATTTGTATGCTGTGATTTTGATTATATCCGTGAACTGTCATTACGTAATAGTTATTTTTATTACTAGTACGGTATGAGCTTCATTACAGTAATGTGTGGGAAATATTGCCAAGACGAGGTCGTAGACCGAGTCTTGGTAATCACGCGAGTGGTATAACGAGCGTTACCGTACGTGTGATATACAACATTTTATGTACGACCTAGATTTTTTTATGTATTCGAAATGGTTTTAATTTTTCACAATAGATTATATTTATAATTTTTCCGAATAAATGAATTTTAAAAAGTGCCGTTTTTCTATAAAAAAAAGAGTTACGCAATGAGCTCATTACATCACTAAGTACGATAATACAACTTATACGTAACTCAAACGGGCTAAAATGAGATACGTAAAAAGCTCTTACAGTATGGGTTGTACATAAATATATTAAATTTATTGAAATATTATTAAATATGATATTAGAGACGAAGAAAAACAGCTATTGATTGCCACACATCAAGGATTATAAGCGCAATTATTGTCAAGCGCCGATACCCTTGTGACGTCACTACAGATGTGCGCTTTCCTTTTGTTGTATTATTAATTTATCATTGTGTTTTGTGATAATTTTTGTTACATATTATGATTTTGGGTCTGCTGATTACACACTCCTCAGCAATAACCTTGTCATGAGTCGCTGGGATGACTTACAGAGTCTTCTAAAATCTGTTTTTTTTTTAAAGATAAAAGTCAAAATGACATTATGTTGGCAATACAATTAGGCAATTTAATCCATCTGTCAAAAAGGAAAATTCAATATGGCGTGGCGGCCAAGCAAGCTTGTTTTGAATATGTTTTTATGTGTATTTTAAATTATTTTGCTTAGAGTTTTTATTTATTTATTTATTTATCAGTAGTATAACAAAAATATACATAATACTATTATATATGTATTCACAATAAATAATAAC